CACTCCAGAAAGTCAGCTTCTCTTTCTCCTACCAGGGAGTTCGCATCTGCTCCATCCTTGGCACAACTGTCAGTAGGACGCACTGCCAGGGTCTCCTTGACTCTCGCCTGGTCCCTTGTGCAGTCAGCACCGACTGGCCATCCCCCCAAACACCGAACTCTGGACCTGACTGCAGGCCCCCATCTGTTTCTCCCTCCGAGGGCTTTCTTATTGCTCCTTTTAGCACCCCCCCCAGCTAACCCACCCGCACCCTACCTCACCCCCCTCCTGTACTTGCCTGGAGCCCTGCACGGTCCATCTCGGGCAGCCTCACCACTGCTGCGTTTACCGAGTGCCTGCACCTTCCTGCTCTCACCCCACACGTCGCCTTTGCCGCCCATCTTGGTTCAGTGCACTGGCAGCACGTGTGTGCCCGTGGGGAGGGGTGCAGAGCACAAGCACCCCACTCAGCTTGGCTCCCGGGCACGCCCTGTGGCCTGCCTGCAGCAGTCCTGCTGATCAGGTGGCAGGCAAGGGCAGGTGGCAGGTGCTCAGTGACTCACCTCAGGCCAGAGCCAAGAAGGTATCTAAGCCGACATGTAAGGCATGAGTAGACATTTGAAGGAGTTTGTGAAATTTTCATTACAGACAGAGTTCTTTTTCTGGTTTGATTTGTTTTAATTTGCTTTGGTTGGGTTGGATTTAGTGACAAGATTATGCTTCATAGATCAGACTGGCTTGAGCCTCCTGCCTCAGCCTCCTAAGAAGTGAGGTTACACCCATGCGCCCCCATGAGCACTATACACATAATTTGTTTTTGTGTTTTTTGTCTTTGAGACAAAGATTTCACTATGTAGTTTAGGCAGGCTGATCTTGAATTCGCTACATAGCCCAGGCTGGCTTCAAACTTGTAGCGGAGTGCTGGGGTTACAAGTGTGGACCACCACACCCAGCACAAGTAATTTCTTTTCTTTTCTTTCTTTTTTTTTTTTTTTTTTACAGAACTGGGGATTGAACTCAGGCCCTTGTGCTTGCCAGGCAAGCGCTTATTCCACTGAGCTATCTCCCCCGCCCTACAAGTAATTTCTTGACAGCCAACTAGAATAGAGGTATGTCCCTTACACGCAGGACAGAGGTAACATAGTTTTTGGTAAATACTGTTCAGGGTCTCCTTGATGACAGCGTGTAAGCACAAGTGCTTGTCATTCTGTTTTCAGATGGGGATGTCTGAGTTCTAGGGATTGCGTGAGCCTAGTTTTCATTTTCTTCAATACATATTTGTTATCATATGCAGCCTACTGTTAGGTGCTCTCACGGTGTGTACTTCAATTCAGCTCTTCTCTCTGTAGGGCCTCTGTCTGAATGAGTCACTAGAAATAATTGATAGAACTAAAAGGCTTAACGCTAAAAATACAGCAATGACTAAAGAATGAAATAACTGAAACATTGTTTCAAAATCATGTGTTAGGAAGTCATCACAGACATTCAGAGAGAACAAGAACACAGATAGGAAGATTACTGTGGAGATTGGTACTGCTCTAGGAACTTCCAGATGAGAAGTTTACTCTGATGTTATAAAAAGATATGAAATATTTGGCCACCTAGACAGCTAACAGGGTCAAGGAGAGCAGAGATCTAAAATGTCCTCCGCAGTTCTTCAGTAGCATGTGCACTTTACAGGGCTTGCACATTGGTCGTCTTATTGGACCTCGGCCCACTGAAATCTCTTACCTGCCACGGGGTAGTGCAGTAAGTGGCACCATGTGTCCCTAGCCATGCAGCTCCTGTGTGCCAGTGAGCTTACAGTCTGACTTCCTCGCTCCTTGTCCAGCCTGCACCGGCCTTACTAGAGTGGGAAACTTTATGCTCATTCTCTCGATTTCCGTGAATACTGCGTTGAAATCCTGCCAAGCTAACTTTATTTTAGCCATGTGTACTCTCCACCAGAAGCAGGGGACACTGGCAGGTCACCACAGAGGGCAAAATGAAGCTGTAGGTCCCTTCCAGCTCATGGCTACGGTGTCCCTGTGACGTGGAAACATGGAAAACGGAAGGTAGTAGCCTTAAAAAATACTTGTTGAAGAGAATACAATAAAAAAAGAAAAGAATACAATAAAAAAATACAGTGAATTCTGGTACCTAGCACCATCCAACTGAAAATCAAGGGTTTTTTTGTTTTTTTAATGTGTCTTTTGTGTTTCTGTACAGGGTTTCACTATGCAGCTCAGATTCATAGTGACTTCAGCTTCCCCAGTGCTGGGATTACAGGGGTGCGCCACCACGCCTGGACTCTGTGTGCCTGGGGCTAGGGCCAGCATGGCATGTGGTGCTGGGGATCGAACCCCAGTCCCTGTGCTTGCCTAAGCAGGTGCTTAGTCCTCTTAGTCTGCTAAGCTATCTCGCTGGCAAAAAATCAAGTTTGTAAAAATCATTATGTTGCCAGATGTGGTGGTGCACTCTTGTAATCCCAGCACTTGGGAGGCTGAGGCTGGGGAATAGCTGTGAGTTTGAGGCCACCCTGGGCTACATGAGCAAGTTTAAGGCCAGCTACATAGTGAGATATTATGTAAAATAAATAAAATTTTTTAAAAACCCATCACATTGTATACGCATCTACCTTATTTATTGGGTCTGTTATGGTGTGGTTTCTGGCTCTTTGCTAAAATTCAAAATGACCATGAAAGGGGCTGGGGAGATAGCTTGGGGGTCTAAGCTCCTGCCTGGCAAGCACAAGCACCTGGGTTGGATCCTGGGTGTGCTGGTCGTGTAGGCCATTGAATACGGGCATGGTGGTGCTCAACTGTAATCCCTCCTGGTGCTGGGGTGGCTGAGACAGGATTACTATGTGTCCCACCTGTGTAGCAAGACCCTGCACCAAATAAATCAATTAAATAAGCCATGAAAAGTAAAAGTTTTGAATTGATTCAGGACATGGAAGCAGCCAGGCATGACAGCTCAACTAAAGACAACAGTGAGAGAAGGCTTCTAGAACTGCCTCAAAAAGTGGCAAGAATGAAAAAAGTGTTCTAAGATGTGAGAGGGACAGGTTGAGGAAATTAATAGCCCTGTGTTTTTTACTATGCTAAATATTTTAAAACTTAAAGAGGTACTCATTGAAGGGGTCGACCAAATAGCTCAGTGGATTAAAGTGCCTGCAAGCAAGTGCAGAGGCCATGGGTTTGATACCCGGGTCTGCCATGCTGAGATGGCAACTGAGACTGGGCATGGTGGCACGTGCCTGTAATCCCTGCTCTTGGGAGGCTGTAAACAGGCAGATCACTACGAGTCCAACCTCTAGTAGTGAGATCCTGAACACCCTGTAGGCCCTTCCCTAAAATAAAGAAAAAAAACAAAAAACAAAAAACAAGTACTTGTTGACAGCACTGAGTTTCCTTTCTGTTTTGTTTTCTGTCTGCTATTGTCTCTTTGGCTATGTCTTTGCCATACCTAAAAGGCATCAGTTTGCACAAGTATAAATCTGTCAGTCTCTGACATGGCTTTCATTTCAAATTAATGTTCAGCAGAGGGAGAAGCAATAACCATTTCAGGGTGGATTTCTCTACAGAACAAGGAATACAGTTTGAACAGGCTGCCAAAGCCAGAAAGAGAAGTTAATTGTATAAATCAATGCAAGCAAGAGCTGGTCACCTTTCTGAAAGACAAGACAGTGCAGTGTACAAGCTCCAAATAGATCTTTGGGGTCAGGTTGATGTCATGTCGAAGAATCAATATTTACTGGGCTTTGTAGAGTTAGCCTTTAATGAACCTCAAGCATTTTTCTAGGCCATTAATTGCAGGAAGAGGAAAGGTGACAGTGGCTGAAGTTCATAGGCATGGGAGATGGTATAAAAATAAGTGAAGATGCCCAGGTATGGGGATGCACATCTGTAATTCCAGTGCTTGGGAGGCTGAGGCAGGAGGATCACCATGGGTTCAAGGCCAGCCTTGGCTATACAGAGAGTCCAAGGTCAATCTGTGCTACATAGTGAGACCCTGTGTCCAAAAAAAAAACAAAAAACAGCCATGGCCAGTGTTTTTTGAACCTGGGATTGAACTCAGGTCCTTGTGCTTGCCAGGGAAGCACTTATTCTACTGAGCCATCTCCCTGGCCCCGCCAGTGTGTAAAGGTCCCACCCTTAAGTTGCACCTCAGGCAGTGTTGGGTGCCAATGTGGGGAGGCCTTCTTTGGGGATGAGCGTGGTGCTGAGTGCGAAAACATGTTCCAAGCCTTCTCAAGGCCTGGGTCACCTGCAGTCCAGGATTTGGGGGGCTGTTCTGGAGGCCTGCTGACATTTTAAGAAAGAGCTGTTCTTGAATCCTGACAGGAGGTAAGTTCTGTCCTCTTACCCAGGCGCAGTGTGCCTTCGTTTTCCTGGGGTGGATTCTGATGTGATCTTGAGTCTTGCCGTATCACAAGGTGAAGTCCCTCTTGCCATGTGGCTCTTTGGTTCCCCTGACACACTGGGTACCTCTTGTAAAGTGGAAGATGGCCATAATGCGTGTTTGAATCCATGGGATGAAAGGCTTTTGATAAATACTGCTCCAACTAGCTGGGTCATTGAGTGGAAGTGTCCCTGTGGGGGGCCTGGAGCCAACCTGCATTTGTGGGCCAGGAGTTCTGGTCCTGTCTGTGTGGGTCAGTGCTCCTAACAAGTGCTGCTGACAAGCCAGGGGCTCGTGTTCCATCCACTTGTAACAGGAGGACATGGATGGCCAGCTGGGCAGTGGCAGTCCACACGTGTCCTGGGCTGCTGCTACCTCCTGGCCATGGTTGCTCGATGGACAGGTTTCAGAGGTGACTTTGCAGCCCTTTCTGTAATGACTTTGTCAGGGGTGTCTAGAGTTAATCAGAGAGAGGAACTGCTGTTCTCACCCCACCCCCATCACAGATCCTTATTCACAGTGAATACCAAAAAGAAGTACAGGAGAGGCTTGGTGGGGTTGTGGTGGTTGGGGTTTGATGCTTAATATTTTCACCTCTGATTGTCAGGCCATTCATTCCAAGTCTCTCATCTTTCCAGTTGTTTGAGAACTTCCACTTTGGTTCTCTGAGGCTCAATTCCATCCACATCTCTCAGAGGTTCACCGTGGACAGCTTTGGGAACTATGCCTTCTGCGGGCAGATTGACTTCTCCTGAGGTGGACTCTGGAGCCCTGGATGCTGCAACCCTGTCGAGGTGCTGAAGGAGGGTCCTGGTTTTCATTCCCAGGACAGGAGTGATATGGAAATTGGGGTAGTGGTTTTCCTGGGGTCCCCTGAGCTACCATCACCTCTGATGACTGTCCAGAGTCACAAGACTGCCAACGGAGGGGTGTGGGCACTAGGAGGGCCTGTGCCATTTTCCTGGGCTTGTTCTGGGTTTTTCCTTCAGTTTTTTGTTTATTTGTTTTTATCATGATAAAATACACAGAACGTAAAATTGTTGTCTTAAGGTTTTGTGTGCATGTGGTGCTTGGGATGAAACCCTGAGCCTCGCACGCCCTAGGCACGTGCTCTACTGCTGAGCTAGACCCTCAGGGTCTCCCCAAGTGGCCCAGGATGACTTTAAACTTTCAATCCTCTTGTGTCAGCCTCCCATGAACTGGAATTATAGGCCAGAGCCACCATAGCTCACTTAATTATTTGTCCTTGCACAGTTATTTATTTATTTATTTATTTATTTATTTATTTATTTATTGCAGAACCGGGGATTGAACTCAGGCCCTTGCGCTTGCCAGGGAAGCGCTTATTCTACTGAGCCATCTCCCTGGTCCCCTTGCACAGTTTTTTAAAAGCATGCATCATGTGCAACCATCACCACCCATCTCTATACTTTTTTCATCTTGTAGTACTTGAAACTCTGTACTCATTAAACAGTAGCTTCCCCCTTCTTGTTCTCCTCAGCTCTGGCAGCCACCATTATTCGAAGATCTTGACCACTCTTAATGTATCCTATAAGTAGAATCACACAGTTTATCTTTGTATAACCAGCTTATTTCACTGCTAACGTCCCCAAAGTTCGCTCATGTCAGGTCACGTGACAGGATGTCCTCGCTTTTTTAGAGATGAATAATATTCCCTTGTATGTATGTCCTTCATTCTGTTTATCCATTCATCCATCATGAATGCTTGGGTTGCTCCCTTCTCTTGGCCACTGTGAACAGTGCAGTATGAACACTGATGTATAAATACCTCTCCAAGATCCTATTTCAATTCATTTACACCCCTCTCACCAGGAACTGGGGAGATAGCTCAGCTGTCTAAGCTCCTGCCATGCAAGTGCAAGGACCGAGGTTCAATCCCCAGTACCACATACTGTGCCTGCCTGGAACACCGGGCATGCCATGTCCACCATTGAAACCAGGTGTGGCAGTGCATGCCAGTAATCCCAGCACTGAGGAGGCTGAGACAGGAGGATCACAACAAGTCCAAGCTGCATAGTAAGACCCTGTACCAAATAAAATAAAGAATTTTTTTTAATTCATTTACTACCCAGAGTTCTATGTTTATCAAAACAACTTAAAGTTACAGAATTTACCACGCATAGTGGTGCCTGTAATCTTAATACTCTGGGAGGCTGAGGCAGGAGGATCACAAGTATAACTTGTCCTCAAGCAGCTTAGTGACTTAGGGTGACTGTCTCTCCAAAATTTCTTTAAAAGAGGAATGTGGCTCAGTGAGGCGGCCATGGGCTCTATCCCCAGTACTGAGAAGAAATTAAAGGGCTTTAATAAAACTGCTACCTTCTTTGGAACTTCTCTGTCTGATCTGTCCATTTTCTGCTAAAGCTGGTCCTTAAAATAATTTGTTGGGTCCTGGTCCCCCGAGCCCATCCCTACTCCTGCTTTCCTGTGTTCCTGCTGGAATTGCAGTGTTACATCTCTTTTCTGTTTCTTTCTCAGGGTGGCTACAAAGAAACAATGACCTCTACAGGACTGCACAGAAAGTTGTAGAAGAATGTGAGCCCCGCAGCCCTCAGCTGGGCTCCGCTCCTCTTCCTCCTCCCCTTGCTCCTTTTCCTCCACAAACTCTCCTGCCTATTTCTTACCTCATGCTTTCTTGGTTCCACCGTTCTGCTCTTCGCTTCTTCCCTGAAGTTGCATGAAGGTTGCTGGACTGTGAAGACAGTGTCCAGCATCCAGCGAGACCACCCAGATCGCGTGTGAATAAACTGATTTCAACAGTAGCTGTGCTTTCTGTGAGTCTGGTGTCACCACCAGGGCTGCCCCACTCCTGTGGGATTCACCTATTGGTTCCTCTGCTTTCTCCTGGTGGAATCATTATTGATTTGAGGATTCATGATACCGTGCTGTTAGTTTTCAGTGTCATCTCACCTCAGCACCTGGGACTGAGTGGCCCAGGATGGCCCTGAGTCATGTGATGCTGCCTGTCCCCCTGTCCTCTCACAGGCCAGTGGGCAGCTGGGCCAGGAGTAAAGAGGTCTTCTTTGGGGTGTCAGAGATTTATAACTTAGGTTTATAGGACACTTTGTTTTTAGGTTTAGTTTTTGGAAAATGTAACATTATATATCAAATACTAATTTTGTTATTAGTAATTGAACTCACAACCTTGAGCTTGCCAGGCAGGCTCTGTGCCACTGAGCTATATCCTTGGCCCTAAATTCTTTTTTT